CCAACTTTCTTTATCCCAGTTGGCCTCCATCTAGAACCCGATTTCCCCTTTTTTAGCTGTTTATGTCTAATATATTTGTGTTCAATTACTCTACTCCCATTCGCTCTTGAACCTATTTCATTCAGGCGTATTTTCCTCTACTTCTACACTGGGACAGTTATCAAGGTGATGAATACAAGTAACTACTTATACATTGGTCATATATTTATATATAAACAAAGAATACAATTCTAAGTGTAAGGTATCCTGCTATATTATACTTAGCAACAGTGTCTTCAATCTACTCCTTTGACATCATGATCACTGTTCCTTGAAATATTTTTTTCTTCAGACACCATATTCTCTTAGTTTTTCTCCAGCCTCCCTAGATAATTCTTGTCCTCCTTATCGTCCTTACCTCCTCCCAAAATTTGAAGTTTCCCAGATTTCTCTACTATTTGAATTACCCTTTGCTACACACCAACATTTCTTAAATCCAGTTTCATGATTTAGGTATGCTTATAACTGCCACACAATTCTTCATATTCAATTTAGGTAGTTACTCAATGTTTGTGTTGAATCATTCTCATCATCCTGACTTAAATAACAGGGCTTGGGGCTTGAAATTTTTACCTTTAAAGAAAGTTACACTTATTTCACATAATACACAGAAATAAATGTCCTGAATATTAAAAACATTATGAAGAACATATTATTTATGACATCATGATTATATTCCTCTACATTTATGTCAAAACTGTTAAAGTTTCAAAGTTCACGTATGTCTTTAATATTTACAATGAATTCCGATGACACAAGTTTAGCTCTCACCTTCTTGTTCTTTTAGAATTGTTCTCTGATATTTATCGGGATATACGATCATCCAACTAAAAACTAGGTTTCCTATCAGTCCTTCTGTCATCCTAGTTTAGGATTTTTCCCAGAATTTTTCACGTTTAACTACCTTATTAATGGTTGCATTAAGGTAGGCCCTGAAGGTTTCTGTGCTTCCAGATTCTCCCCTGATTTCCTCTCACAGTACACGAGACATCTGTGTGGGCACAGCAAGGGTTCTCACTGTGACAGAAGCTTGTATCTGAATGATGTCCAGTAATATAACCAGTCTCTCTATCCTTAACGCTCTCTGGATGCACACAACGCAGCCAACAGTTTCCTTTCCTATGGCAGTAGGCATACGAATATAAGCTATTTTTAAAACTATTTTATCATTTTCTTTAGAACAATTTTTTAGATCTACCAATACAATAAAAATAAATTGCTGATAACAAATATTTCAAAAAGTATATAAGTATGTTTAGCACTCCCCTTCTCCCCTCAAAGTTGCTTGGGTTTGGACAATAAATTCTATAGCCACACTACTATTTAGTCACCATTTTACAGATCAAACTTGCCTACACTTCCTTGCCCCTTTGAAGTTGCCTGGAAAATAACACCGTTGCAGTTCCCATGGAACCAGGAATAGAGGCCTTACGTTGAGCATGCATGGGAGTAAGAGCCACTAAAGATGGGTGTCTAGGAGAAGACATGGAGCAGAGACTCCCACCGGCCCTGGATCCCTCAACTGCACACTGTTACTCAAGAGAGAAATAAAGTGCTTCCTCTTAAGACATTATACTTTGATGTCTTGTTGCTACAGGAGTTTAGTCTGTTTCCAAAGTAGTATATTCCCTAAATAACAAACATTGAACCTTATTTCTACGGCTCCACATTTAGGGAGCAATAAGAAAATCTTACCGAAACCTGGCCAGCCATTACTAAGAATGCTAAGGATTCTGGATAAAAGAGCTCTTGGCTGCTATCAGAACCAATAAACAGTAACTAAGAGCAACTTCCGGTGAAGGGCACACTGAGAAAGGAAATCACACATAAATGCAAATCCTCCTGCAGGCTCCCTCACGCTGCTGGGCAGAGTCTGGAGACCTGAACAGGGTAGTGGCTGCCAAGAGCCATCTGCTCTCATCTCTGAGAGTGTGGCCAGGCAGGACCTGCAATAGAAGGGGCGGCCCAGGGATGCCACAGTGCCTCCACAGAGGACCAGGAGTGAGCCACAGCCTGCCTCACAGTCCAACTGCCACAGCCCTGAGGGATCCTAAGTGGACCCAGAGCCCACTCACACCCTCTCCTCAGCTGGTGACAGAGCCAGGGCCCCGTCTTCCCAATCGAGGCAAGAACGGAGGGTGGAGCAGCTGTGATCGATACCTGCACCAAGGCCATGCACACTCACCACTCACAACCCACAACCCAGTGTTTTCTAAAACAAGGGACAGTCCAATCAGGAGAGGCCCAGCCTGCTCAATCTGGTCCTGCATTATATAGATGGGGAAACTGAGGCCCAGGAGGTTGAGTGCCAAGGGGACCTACTCAAGCCACAGGAAGGCAGCACTCACACCCAGACAGTCAGCCCTGAGCTAGGTCTGGCCGCCCCCACAGTCAAGAGCCCCAGGCTTGGATGCCCACTCTGGAGTGACCAGTACCTTTGAACGCCTCCAGCAGGTGCTTTTCCATATACCAGCAGGCAGTTTTGAAGTTGGAAAACTGAGTCAGGCGGCGCAGTTTCAACATCCTTTACACTTCATATGCTCTGGAAGCCACCAAATAGCCACTTTCAGTGCACTGACCATCAAGCAGGTGATGCTGGGGGTGGATCCAGGTCCCAGGCACGCCAGCTCAGGCTTCCCCACAGGGCCCTGCATAGCTGAGGTGGACGAGGCGACAATTGCCCCTGGGTGGCTGCAGGCCTTGGGGCCCATGAGAATTCTGTCAGTGCCTGAGAAGAGAAAGGAGCAGCCTTTTAAGCAATCCCAACCCCACCAAGGGCAACTATGACCGCCCAGCAGCCAGATGACTCGAAGAGGCGGCCTGCACGACCCCAGAGCCCACCTCCTCCTTCCCTCCACATCACGAAGAGGCCCATCAAGGCTGACGGTCATGTCCAGGTCACCCACAGGCAGGGTGAGCCAGTGCTCAGCCCGAGGTGTCCGGCACCGACCCAGCTAGAGGGAGGACCCTACCCCACACAGCCTGAGGGCAGACAGCACACGAGGCACTACCCCCTCTGCATCTCCACGTTCAGGCTGTGGAGAAAATGTCCTGTGAGGGCCAGGCAGTCCTCAGGGGTGACTGTGACATAGATCCAGCCTGGGAGAGAGACAGGAGTGGCTGGCACCTCACCAGGCTCCCATGAAGGGGCTTCTCATGGCTCCAGATCAGGGAGAAGCAGAGACCAGCACAGGCCTTTCCAGGCCCAGCTCAGGCTCCAGCTCCTGCCGGCCTGTGCCTTGGTGCCCTGTCCACCTCTGCAGCTTCACCAGCAGCCTGGGGCCTCCCTGGGAGAAGCTCTCTGGCCCTAGCCCCACCCCGGGCTCCATGGAAGGGAGTCAGGGGAGAGACTGCATCTGAGGCAGCACAGACTAGTCAGTCCAGCCCTGCACCACACAGACAGGGCAACCAAGGCCCAGAGCTGAGGGGACTCGCTCAGGCCACATGAGGGCAGTACTCAGACAGAGAGAGGAAGCTCCAGCCTATGTCCAGCTCCCCTGCCTGCCAACCACACTCAGGCCCAGGAGACAAGGCCGGGGCAGCTACATCACCACCAGAGTTGGGACGGGATCCCAGGTTATCCTTGGAGACAGCTTGGGCCAGACCCTGGGAAATCCACAGCTCTTTCCTAAATAGCTGTGACTGTGAGGAAACTGACGGGAGGAGGAGGGACTCATAGATTACAGAAGATTCTGAAGCTTATAAATCATTAAAGTGTGAGGGTCTCAGTTTGATACTTACTTACAATGAAAAAAAAAATCCCTATAAAACAATGTGAAAATCTGAACACCAATTGGCTATTTGATGATACTAGGGAACTGCTGTTAATTGTTCATTTTTTCGAGATGTGGGAACAGTATTGTAGCTATGTTATTTTAGAAGGAAAGAAAGTCCTTCAAAAATAGTGGAATATTTAATGAAACAGAATATCTGGGATTCGTTCTAACATCATCTAGGGGCACAAAGTGGCTCATGACGGGCTTTCCCCTTCAGCACAGACTCAAAATGTCCCCTAATATTGACTTAATGAGCAGCTACCACTCTCCTCCCTCACTGGCTCTCATGTCGTGGCTGCTGTTCCCACACAAGGCTCTCTGAGCTGGGTCTCCAGCCGTGGGCTCAGTCACAGTGAGCCCAGTCAGGCTGTGAAGGGGCCTGACTGGCTGTGCAGCTCCAAGGTGTCCTCAGTGGTGATGAGTGCCCATGCTGACCAGACAGCACAAGCCCCACTGCTGGCCCCTCTGCAGAGACTGGGCTGGGATGGCATTAAGCTCTGGACAAGGGAGCAGGCATGCTAGGGATGCCAAGAGATCCCATGGTGGGGACATGGCCTGAGAGGCCAGTAACCTTGATGAGGGCCTGCAAGCCCTAGGACTCAGTCCCCAAAGCTGCCAGCACTCACCTGAGGGAATGAAGAGGCTCTGGCCCTGCTTGATGATGCACTTGTAGCATCTGTCGACCTGCAGGGCAAAGAACATCTCGCTGTGGTTAGAGGCAGACCGCCAGCACTCACACAGATGTTGGCTGAGGCTGGCCTGATGAGACAGAAGGTTCTCTCCCCCTGCCAAGAGAGCCCGTTGCCAAAGCCGCCCATGCCAGTACATGGGGTGGGGGTGCAAGTGATAGGTCCTAATGTGACAAGTACCCTGTTCAGGTCCACGACTCCTGCCTGCACCACTGAGGACACAGGGGCTTTGCAATTCAGAAGTGTGCATGTTAGGAAGATTCTGGGTATCTGGGCCCCCAACATACTCAAGGGCTAAAGCCCATAATCCCACATTATATTGTTTTGAGGCACTACAAATGGCGTGGATGACTAGGTTGCAAATAAAGCTGCAGCTGGCTGTCAAAAGAATTCCAGGTAGCTCCACTCTTGAGAGCCACTTGGATCTCAGGCTGGGTCAAATGATGCCACTGTATTCCATGCGGTCTTATGCCTGGCCCCGGGAGGGGCTCTGCACTGGGAGCAGAGAGACCCCTGTCCTACGGCAGTGGAGCCAAGGCAGGTTCTGAGGGTGCTCCAGTAACTTGCTCAAGGCCTCCCAGAGGTGGGATCAGCACACACACTCGCCCCCAGCTACAGCCCCAGCTGGTCTGGAGAAGCTCAGTGAGCAGCTAGGGGAGCCCGCAGCTTAGGGTTTCCTTTGCTTCTTTTGCTATTTTTCATTTTTCTTCTGGTTTTTCTGGCTTCCCTCTCTCGGCCTCGATGGTGAGGCTCCTAGCCATCCCCGTCTGCTCAGATGCCCTCATCCTGCCCGCTGGGTCCTGTGCAGGGCCCTGGCTATGGCTCACCCCTCTTCCAGGATGTCTTGACAACACCCCCCTTTCTCCTCTAACTGCACAGTCACCCAGCGGCCTCATCTGATGGTTATTGAGCCTGAATCCCATTAGAAAAAGGAGACATTCGTGTGCTTATCTGATCCCACATACACCCCCACCCCTCCATCCAGGGATGTCTCCATGGCCTCCTGTCCCAGGGATGGATGGTCCGAGGGCCCTCTGGGGAGTGGCATCTTGGCCACAGTCAGGGCTCGTGGGACTGCAGACAATCTTGCAGATGGGTCATGGCCACGGCACAGCTGAGATGTCCCAAGGGGCATGGCTTACCTTGAACACGTGGTACCAGGTGGAGGTGCCCCGAGTCGATGTGGAAGTTGGTGTAGCTTTCCTTCATGCAGATCAGGCAGTACTGGGTCGCTTTGGGCTTGGCCAGTAATATATCGTCTAGCCAGTAGTTTTCTACCCAGGGCAATTTCTTCATGATGTCAGGTGGCTCCACGAAGCTGGGCATCCTGCGGGTGGGAGAGGAAGGTGGAGAGGGAACCTGAGA